TCATGGACTGGGCCCATTAAGGGTTAAGACCTTAAGGGTCATTAAGTGCGTGAGTTGGGATACAAGAGGAGACGCATGTGTGTCTGTTTTATTTGTGTTGACTGCGGGGTAAGTTGTTGACCCAACAGTTAAGATACCATGAGGGGACCACCATCACTCAGTAGGGAGAGTAGAGTACGGCACAATGACGCCACCATAGAACGTATCCCGTAGATAGATTAGCGGCAATCCCAAGGAGAAAAACGGGAAGACATCGTCCTTAGCTGCGCTTGTGCTTAAACCAAGGCATTTACAAACTGGCAGCCTGCGGCTGGGAGACAGGGGGTTGTTAGCCCGGTCATGATGGCCTACAAAGGAGACAGAGGGAGACGATCCACATATCTTGCTAAGAGAAATTGAGAAGAAGTCAGTACTGTTGAAGAGAGCTATGCTCAGGGCAAAGCCAGGGAGGACAGAAGGGACAGTGTGGGCTGTGGTCATCAGCACCATCCCCTCTTGTCCCCAGTGTTGTTCCCCCAAACCAGTTTTGTACCATACAGTTGACATTCTTGAGTGTTAATGTCTCCTAATTGTTAACAGCCACTGGTATGCATAAGGTCTCTGATGACCCTGAGACCCCAAACCCCTTTTGTTGCTAATTAAGGGGACTTTCTCGCAAACATTACCCGCTCAGTGGCCCAAGGGTTTGTGGCTAGTGCGGAGAGAAGTTACACTACACCTTTCCGCACCTATGAGGCAAGGTGGAGAGCTTGAACCCCTATCACCAGGACTCGTTGATAAAAAGAGAGAAGATAAGTTGCATTCTAAGAAATTTTTATGCTAAGCTTTTTGTCTTGGCTGCATTATTTCCTTACTTCCCTATGTAACGAGAAATCTTGTTATACACCCCACAAGTTTGCATACCTCATAACCATTTGCTATATGTACTAACCCTCTGGATAGTTGCTAAGTACTTCCTCAGGTACCAGCAGCCAGGCAGCATGCAAGCAACGGCAAAACTACCCATGACAGAGAAGCTTGCTGCACAGGGGCTTGTGCAGCAGGGCTCAAGAAGCCTAAAAGCTATGGAGGAAGAAAACAGCTGCCCTATAAGGTGTAAGATCTTTATCATTGTTACTCTGTCTCAACTCTTAGCTGTATTAAGCTAAATTAGAGACCCCTCCTTATCCATAGCTTTGCATCTGTCACCGATACAGTGCTGCATCTGCCACTCGAGGTGACTCGAGGTGACTCGATGACCACAATGATCTACGTAAGAGGCACAGTGTTAAGGGTAAGAGCACCACTAAAAAGAAGCTAATAACTGTCTACCTAGTCTACAACTATCTTGTGCATAGCTACTCAATGCTCTTGGGGTGGGGGAGATACGGTCTCAGTTGTGTGTAGCAAAAGGCAACTTGCTGCAGCTAATGGGGGACATCAGTCCCCTTCGCTGCAGGAGCACAGATCTATTTTCTGCATGCAATAGCTCTGTAATCACTAGCATCTGCTTAGATTTAGACTAACTACTTGTGTCTTATTTGCCTGCCTTAAGACGAAGGCAGTATAGATGTGGCTGCAGCAGAGAGAGGGGCGGGAGAGAGGGAGAGGGAGGGAGGGAGAGAGCGATATACATGGAAAGAAAGAGAGGAAGGGGAAGAGGGAAGGAAAAAGAAAGAAGGAAAGAAGGAGAGAGACTAACTAATGGGCTCCATCAATCTATGTGTATGCCACACAGCTCGGGCTGGTGGTGGGTAAGGAAGGGCATAGCAGCAGGGAAGAGAGTTGCTGCTTGCTCATTAATAGATAAAGTTGTATGTAAACTTAACAATAATAGAATTAAACATGAAAAAAGAGAATTAAATTTAATTAATTAAATAAAAAGAAGGAAGAAACAGCCATTGGCCCGCCGTCCTCGGGCCCCCCGTGGTGTGCCACCGCCACCATGTGCTTGTTATAAAGAAAAGGGGGAAAAAGAGAACAAATTAATATGTTTATATTCTTATTTATTATACAAAATAACAAAGGATATTATAATTAATAAATAAATGCAAGAAGAAAGCCACAGACAACACAACGCTACAACAGGACCGCAGCAGCAGCCACACCGCAGCAGCAGCAGCAGCTGCTGCTGCTGCTGCAGCCGCGGCTGCGGCTGTCCTGGTTGCTGCAGCAGCAGCAAGCAACCATGGGAGGCGCGGCTGTAGCTGCAGCGAGCGTGTAAAGGGCTTTTTGGATATTGCTGAGCGTTGTCAGCCTGCTGCTGTACAATTGAAACCCCAAACCCTAAACCCTAAACCCTAAACCCTAAAGCCTAAACCCTAATTACCATGGCGCCTAAAAGCAAGGGCACAAGAGTGAACCTCCGCGACCTGCAGCGCGAACTGCAGACCACCACCATTCTTCCTGATGCTCCTCGGTACGTTTATTCCCTTTTTATGCTCCTTATTTCCTTTATATAAAAGGGTACGCAGCAAAGGGAAGGTACTTCTTGGGGGCCCCCCCCCCTCACCCCCCCCCC